ATACTATCCAGTGTTTGGTAATTCACTGTATAATACTTGATAAGATAAAAAGTAAATATTTTTGAAAAAAATACACTTTAATAAAGAATTTATATAATTCTTCCAAATATTTCATATGGTAATATTTTTTATAAAAATATATTGATTAGTAATTCCAAAAAAATATATTAATTTTGGTAGAAATAAAAATCTCAAATATTTTTTTAAAAAAGTTCATGACTACTATATATATTAAATTAAAAATTTGATAAGCATAATATCAAATATAAGGCCTGTTCACTACTAGAAAAGTCTTTATTATCGATGGAATTTTTCGACGGAAAAAAATTCCGTTGAAATTATTGACGGAATTTTCCACGGAATCTGTTTTTCGTTTAAAATTTCGACGGAATTCCTTTTCCGTCCAAAATTTTTGACGGAAAAAGAAATTCCGTCGAAGATTTTCGACGCAAAAGGAATTCCGTCGAAAAATTTCGACGGAATTTCGATTCCGTCGAAGAATTTCGACGAAAAAGGAATTCCGTCGAAAACTTTTGAAAAAATAAAAGAAAAAGAATTTATAGTTTGTGGACTTTTCGACGGAATTTCGATGAAAAAGAAATTTCGTCGAAAACTTTTGAAAAAAATAAAAGAAAAAGAAATTATAATTTGTGGACTTTTCGACGGAATTTCGACGAAAAAAAATTCCGTCGAAAACTTTTGAAAAAAATAAAAGAAAAAGAAATTATATTTTGTGAACTTTTCGACGGAATTTCGATTCTGTCGAAGATTTTTGACGAAAAAAAAATTCCGTCGAAAACTTTTGAAAAAAATAAAAGAAAAAGAAATTCTAATTTTTGGACTTTTCGACGGAATTTCGATACCGTTGAAAACTTTTGAAAAAAAATAAAAGAAAAAGAAATTATATAATTTGTGGATTTTTCGACGGAATTTCGATTCCGTCGAAGATTTTCGACGGAAAAGAAATTCCGTCGAAAACTTTTGAAAAAAAAATCAAAGAAAAAGAAATTCTATTTTGTGGACTTTTCGACGGAATTTCGATTCCGTAGAAGATTTTCGACAAAAAAGAAGTTTCGTCGAAAACTTTGGGAAAAAATAAAAGAAAAAGAAATTATAATTTGTGGACTTTTCGACGGAATTTCGATACCGTCGAAGATTTTCGACGGAAAAGAAATTCCGTCGAAAACTTTTAAAAAATATAAAAGAAAAAGAAATTATATTTTGTGGACTTTTCGACGGAATTTCGATTCCGTCGAAGATTTTCGACGAAAAAAAAAATTCCGGTGAAAACTTTTGAAAATAAAATAAAAGGAAAAGAAATTATATTTTGTGGACTTTTCGACGGAATTTCGATTCCGTCTTCGACGGAAAAGAAATTCCGTCGAAAACTTTTGAAAAAAATAAAAGAAAAAGAAATTATAATTTGTGGACTTTTCGACGGAATTTCGATTCCGTCGAAGATTTTCGACGGAAAAGAAATTCCGTCGAAAACTTTTAAAAAAATAAAAGAAAAATAAATCATTTAATGGATTATGTCTAATGGGCCCAAACCCATTTATGTTAGTGGTTATGTTGGGCTTGATGGGTCGCTCACAAACCTCTTAAATTGTCTTGAATTCTAGCATATGTGGTTTGGGCATAATAAGACATAATGGGTCTAAGTTGGAAAAGCCCACATATTGAGCCAAGAGAGAGTAGGTGACATCATGCGTCAAGTTGGACTTGATCCATGATGTAAACTAATTAATTTAAATGTTAAATTAATTAAATTAATTTGAATTCTAATTTTGAATTTGAAATTTGAATTTAAATATAGTGATTAAATTTGATTTATTGAAGATGGAGAAAATAACGGAAACCAATCAATTAGATTGATAGAAACAAATCATTTGTATTGATTCACCAAAATTAAGGAAACCAATTAATTAAATAAATAGGGTGAAATTGGGAAAACAAATCAATTGCATTGATTGGATAAAATTAAGGAAACTAATTAATTAAATTAATTGGCTGAAATTTATTTAATTAATTAGTTGGATTGATTGGATAAAATTAAAGAAATTACCCAATAAGATTGAGATTTGATGAGGGCGCTGATTTGACCTAATCTTAGGTTAATGAGGCGCCTCATCTATATATAGCCCATCTTAATGCAGTCTAATTTCACAATGTTGATTTTAAATTACAAAAATTTAAAATTAATTTACATGATATATACGAATTTGTTGTCTTTGGATATCAAATTAAAAAAATTATTTTTTATAATATCTAAATATTTACTTAAAAATTTGATTATAAAAAGATAAAAAAGTACTAATTTGATTAGTATGGAAAGTTATTTGAATGTAAAAACTTTATAATTAGTCTATTGTTTACTAATAGAATTTAGGGATAGAATATTGTGACACCCAAGTTAAAAAGGTAGAAATAAATATAAAATATTAAATTTGGGAAATCATGACCATACAAAGATGGAAATAAATATAAAATATTAAATTTGGAAAATCATGACCATACAAAGATGGAAATAAATATAACCGTTGGATCAACATAAGCGATCTAACGGTGAGATTGACTGGGTGTCACATGGGTGTAACATAACTTGGGTGTCACAATATCCTATCCCAAACTAATATAGTATAATTTAATATATACAAATATATTAAAAACAAAAGTATATTTTTTTGGTGGAAAAAACAAAAGTATATTTTATTAATATACAACTCTATAAAATTTTAAAAATAATACAATTTAATAAAAAATATTAAAAAATGTTAAAAAAAGATACAAACTCGTGCGCTATGTGGCACAATCATTTTACCCGATCAAAATTAATGTACCACTCACAATCAAAAAATATAAATGAAAAAGGGATATTTAATTATAATTAATATATCAATCATCAATCACAATTAAAATATCAATCATCAATCACAATTAATGTATCAATCACAAATAAAAATTAATTTTGATCACAATTAATGTACAAATCATAATTAATTTTGGTTGGTACATTAATTATGATTGGTGATATTATACAAAATATTATAAAAAATAATTTTTTTAATTTGATATCCAAAGACAACGAATTCGTATATATCCTGGTACTAAAAAAAAAGCGTATATATCCTGTAAATTAGTTTTAAATTTATGAAATTTAAATTTTCCATTTTGAAATTAGACTTCATTTCAAAGGTTACTGTATTAAGAGGGGTTATATATAAATGTGACGCCTCATTAACCTAAGACTAGGTCAAATGAGCACCCTCATCAAATCCCAATCTTATTCGGTAATTTCTTTAATTTTATCCAATTGATTATTTTTCCCAATTTCAGTCAATTAATTGGTTTTTTCCAATCCCAGAGCTAGTTGAGTTCATTGAATAATCAACCTGTTTTACCTATTTGGTTACCGTGTAAATTGTCCTTTCGTCTCATTATCCATCCCATTGACCTAGGTCAAGGAAAACGTATCAACCTCTGCGGTCTAGGGTTAGCTTTTGTCAAAACAAGGAATCTTCATTTACGGACCCTAAAGAGCGGGCAATCTCATGACTCATTTACTATGCATAGATTCCCGAGTCCCGTAAATGTCATCCCGGTTTCACCGGTCTACGGATAACCTAATCTCTCACAGAGATTGACGAATTCCTTTATCCATATCGATATATCTAAACTAGGAACATATTTCTGGCAATGGACGTGTGGTGTCATTGAGCCCTCATGAGCGTGATACCTATCACAGATCCTCAATGTGACACATGTACCATTCCAAGAGCTTTATCCAGTTACTCATATTCAATATTTGAGACATACAATATGAAACAAGATAAATAATGCTTTTATTCAAAAAATATATTCATAACAAATAAAGAAGTACATGGGTTCATCTGACTCTCAAAATGCCCATTAGGTAGGTTTGATTTTGTTAACCGTCCAAAAGACACAAATATACTTTTATTTTTCATATTTTTAATTTCAAAAACCAAAATAGTACTTTTTTATCTTTTTATAATTAAATTCTAGGGATAGGATATTGTGACACCCAAGTTATGTTACACCCATGTGACACCCAGTCAATCTCACCGTTAGATCGCTTATGTTGATCCAACGGTTATATTTATTTCCATCTTTGTATGATCATGATTTTCCAAATTTAATATTTTATATTTATTTCTACCTTTGAATGGTTATGATTTCCCATATTTAATGCTTTCACTTTAAATTTGGGAAATCATGACCATACAAAGATGGAAATTAATATAACCGTTGGATCAACATAAGCGATCTAACGGTGAGATTGACTGGGTGTCACATGGGTGTAACATAACTTGGGTGTCACAATATCCTATCCCTATTAGTTTGGGATAGGATATTGTGACACCCAAGTTATGTTACACCCATGTGACACCTAGTCAATCTCACCGTTAGATCGCTTATGTTGATCCAACGGTTATATTTATTTCCATCTTTGTATGATCATGATTTTCTAAATTTAATATTTTATATTTATTTCTACCTTTGTATGGTTATGATTTCCCATATTTAATGCTTTCACTTTAAATTTGGGAAATCATGACCATACAAAGATGGAAATTAATATAACCGTTGGATCAACATAAGCGATCTAACGGTGAGATTGACTGGGTGTCACATGGGTGTAACATAACTTGGGTGTCACAATATCCTATCCCTATTAGTTTACCCAAAAAAAAATTATACTATATTATTTAAAATTTGGAAGCCATGCTTTCGAGTAAAACTTTGTATTATATGATTACAAAAAAAAAAGTTATATTTATAAAATTTACTTTTCGACGGAATTTAAATTAAATTCGGTCAAAAATCGTTTGTGAAAAATTTATAAATAAAAATTATTTATGTGAAAATTTTCCCTTCATTCCTTCAAAAATTTTCCCACTTTCCCCCTAAATCTTTCTCACTCTCTCCCCACGCTCAAAATGACCCACCGTTCGAGTTCATATTATCCTTTTTATCAAATGTCCGAAGCAAGAAGCATGAGTCACAGATTTCGTTCTAATCAGTTTCTCTCTCCAAGTGATAAGAAATCAAAGGCAGTAGTCCTATGTGTTCGCTTAGGATCCACTCATTCAACTCTAACTTGTACTGCGAGTTTTCACTTCAAACTTGTGAGCCAGAAAGGCCCTTGTTTGTTTTTTTCTTTTCTATAGAAACTTTCAACTCAACATCGCTTCTTCTTCTTCCTCCAACGTCTGCAGCTTGCTGATGGGTCTCTTCTTAACGGGAAATTGAGCTCATTTCCCATCTGGGTTTTGTGATTTGGGACAGAATGATGCCTTTGACAAGCAAAAGCATTGATTTTGCTGGGAAAAAATTGGTTTCTTGTGGCTGTGCATCCAATGCTTCTTTTGACCGTTACACGGTGAGGAATTATGCAAAGGTGGATTCTAAAGGGTGTGGCAGAGGACATGGAACTCGTAAATTGATTTGTTGTCAGAGTAGGAGCACGAAATCTCGGGTTTCTTCTATGAAGACTGCAGAGCCTACGGTTGATGGTATAAGATTTTTTTCAATAGAAGTGTGTAGTAGAGTTGCTTCATGTTTCTAGTTTGAATGAATAAAGTAACATAGGTATTGGTTATTGCAGTGGAACTAGATATTAAAAGTTTTGATTTTGTTTTTGCATAGGTGGAACTCAAGCAATTAAAGGTCTTACAGGAGGATTGGACTTGAAGAGTTATTTCGAAACCCCCATTTCCCCTACTCGGTTGTTTGAAGTGGTTGCTGATGATCTGCAAACCCTTAATAAAAATCTTCAGTCGGTAAGTGATGGTTTTGGGATTCATATTTTGTGCTGTTTTACTAACTACTGTGATTGACTTATAATTGTTCCTGTCCCATCTGGTGAATTCTTGTGTTGTTTCACCATTACTGATATTGCATTGACCAGACCAAAAAAATTGTGGAAGTTTGAATGGGATAAAATATGGGACATATGCTGTTGAATGATATTCAATGTTTAGTGATTGGACACATGACTTTCTTTGCTCATTGTTGTTGTTAAGTTTTACTGAATCCCTCATTTCAGTTTTGTTTGATAACATCATAATTCTTTGTCTCTTGATACAAGTTTACAAATTATAATATTTCAGGATTAATTATTAAATTTAAATTAGTTTTAATGAGATTGAATGATTTTTTTGAATGCCATTCTTATTTGTTTTTACTGTGACTGAAATCCCTACCTAATTATTAGCAGAGATAATTGAAATGATTCATACTGCAAGTTTGATACACGATGATGTATTAGATGAGAGTGACCTACGAAGAGGTAGGCTTGTTATCCTAGTTTAGAAATACCCATTTAATTTTCATGACATCTCTTTAGATTTCTTATTATGTATCTTATTTGGCAAGAACTTATAAAAGTTACGTTACTTATAAAAGTTTCTTATTATGTATCTCTTTATAAGGCTACGTAACTTATAAAAGTTACGTTAGTATATATATATATATATATATATATATATATATATATATATATATATATATATAACTTACGTAACTTATAAAACTAAAGTAACTTTTATATATATATATATATATATATATATATATATATATATATATATATTACAAATGAATTATTGTTGGCCTATTTTCCTTCTTGTTTTCCCTCTCTGTTTCTTATGTTCATTTTTGGTTGTATTTAAATGCATGTTGGGGAATATCAGAGTACTTGATAAATTTTGTTTTTGTAACCAGAAGCTTATATATATAATTTTTATCCGTAGACCATTAATATGACCTTTGCAGCAATAAATTGTTAACCTGAAGAAGCCATTGGAAAATATGAGTAAGTATTTTTGGTTGGTTGTATAACTTCAGACTATATATTATGTTAGATTTGTTGTGCTTTTCCAATTATTTGTGTTTTAAATATTTTACATGCCTACAGGTACAGTTGCACAACAAGAGGAAAGGACTGTACAACAATAGAAGAGGGCTCCACAACAACAGAAAAGGGCTGCAAAACATGATTTTTGTATCTTGTTTGGATGTATATGACATAGACATAGACTTTTTTCATTAGTATATAACAGAGACATTTGTACACATAATTACATTAAGATCAATATGAATTTGATATATTATTTACTTTCTTTATATTTGTTAATTAGGTGCAAAAGATAAAAAGGTATTAATTTTGTAGAGCAAAATTAAAATAAAATTTGACAAAAAAGCAATTTCGTTGAAAATTAAGGCAATAGTTTTTGACAGAATTTAATTCATTTTTTGTAAAAAATGATTACAAAATTTTTTGACAGAATTTTATTCATTTTCTGTCAAAAAATTTCGACGGAATTTGTTTTTCGTCGAAAACTAATACAAGATTTTTTGACAGAATTTTATTCATTTTTCGTCAAAAATTTTTGACGGAATTTATTTTTTGTCGAAAATTAATACAAGATTTTTCGACTGAATTTCATTCATTTTTCGTCGAAATTTTTTACGGAATCAGTTTTCTGTTGAAAACCATTACAACAATTTTTGACGGAAATTCTTTGATTTTTCGTCGAAATTTTTTGACGGAATCAGTTTTCCGTCGAAAATCATTACAATAATTTTCGACGGAATGCATTTTCCGTCGAAAATTTTTGACGGAATTTATTTTCCGTCACAAATTGAGACAGGATTTTTCGACGGAATTTCATTCATTTTGCGTCGAAACTTCCCACAGAAATTATTCCGTCGAAATTTTTCGACAGAATCTGTAATTCCGTCGAAAAAATTGTTACCCACGAAGATATATTCGACGGCTTCATTTCCGTCGAAAATTCCGTCGAAAACATCATTTTCGACGGAATTTTTCCGTCGAAAAAAAAAACATTTTCTAGTAGTGGTTGACAACAATTTCATAAATAGTACCATTAAGATTTGATAGCAAGTACACTAAAAACATAGCGAAATTAAAAATAACATCAGTTTCGACTTATCAAGTATTATTAAATTCTTACTAATACTATCATCCATAGTCTACTGCATACTTATTTCTAATGTCAAATTTTCATCACCATCAATTATCATCAAGCAAATGTGAATACAACAAACCAGTGGAGAGGAAGAGACGAACGTGAATGTAGCAGACCATCGAAGACGCGAACGCGATAGATCAGCTGATATATTTTTTTGGGGCGCTACTCCCGAACCCTTACCACTAAATGTGCGGACATAAATACAATATTTTGGGTCCGCCATTGCATGGTGCCTTGGTTAGATCTAACATGGTTGTTTGATGGTGGTTCTGCTTTGATCGACGGTGACCATTGAAGGACGGCTTACAATAACAGAGGAGCGGTGGTTGGCGGCTAGTGGCTGGTGCTGGCAAAGGTGTTGCGGTTAACACTATGGTGGTAGTGTAGCGAGAATGAAGGCTTAGATCCATGGTTTATAGCCTTGAATGTCATCCATGGTGAAAAGAAAAAAATGGACCGAAGTTGGTGTTCACAAGTACATTTGGAAACTTTCCACAACTATAAATTATGACTCTTTGTTTGAACTAGAACCATGGACATATCCACTTTAATGTCTTACCTTCTACATTATCAAACTCAATCTTCCATTCAGTTCATCATACTGCTTGATAAGAATTTATGAAAACTTCTCAACGGGTCCGATAAATTGTTGCTTTCATATGTTTGTGTCATAATCCACACATACAAAAGATGCACACTACAACAAAGTCTATCCTTTTGTTTTCTTTTGTAGAAGTCCAATGTCAGGAACATCTTAATTAAAATAGTGGGCAATGGGTTTCTTTTCTTGATTTCAACTATAAAGAACACATCCATTGTGGCATGGTCCACTATATCAAAAACATATGGGAATAATATCAATCTATACATTGTGAGTGTCGATACTCTTGAAAAGGTTAACCATTCTTTTTTATGCTTAAATTCATTTAAATGGTTTTCCATGAATGACCTAGTTCACCAATGAAAATCTACGTGCTCTGTCAATATGGTTTTAGTTTTTGGTAACCCCAATAGGTCCCTGAATCATTCAACGAATTTTTCTTTTGAGATGTAGGGCTCTAAATGAAAGCACACAATGACATCTATATTCATTGCAACCCCAACAAGCAAACATATTCTTCGATTTTAGGTGTGATAGAGGTTGGCCTATTGGGTAGTTCAAAACTCCTTATAAAAGAATTCCAATATTAGGACATACGCTAAAAAGTATAGGCTTCAACTGACATGAAAAATAAGTCTAGAATTGCTCCATATTTCTTCAAAAAAAGGTTTCGAATTTCTTGAGACAATGATTGACTGAACAACCTCAAATTATCCAGTAGACTGATGTTTGTTATCTAGTTGAAGCTCCTTTTTTGCATTAGAGGTATCGAAAGTGTTCTTTGTCCCTCCCATTTCTGGCCACCAAGTATAGTGCAACTCTTCTACTACCAATAAATTTTAGTTTGAAGGAATAAAAATAACACTCATGAGCAATCACAAAAAATGTAGCCTAATTAGTGCCTTTATTGAATGATCAAACTATAATGCATGAACACTTATGGGTTCCAAAAGGGGTCGTAAACCCAAAATGCAAGATGTAGTGCATGTCCATCTTCACAACCCATTGCATACAAATAAGTCATTTAAGTTGAGGACGATGACAGGTTGTCTGGATTTCAAAGTGAAAAGTATGATGCATGAATATAATCTAACACCTTAACGCAAATGCATAAGTTTAAACATCAATTAAAACAAAGTTTATGCATCCATTATAGCGTTAAAGCATAGTTTTAGCTCATGATGGAATTAAATAAAATAGAGAAAAATAAGAAGAAATCCATAGAGAACAGAAACAAAAATGGAATACAAGCTAATCCTAAAATTCTATGTGCAGTTCTGCTATAACACTACTCCATCATTCCTTCTTCCTTCGAGAATCTTTCCTCTCTTGAAAAAGAACAAAAGCAGCGACTGAAAGAAGATTTCCAAAAGGAAAATAAAAAGAAGAGAAAAGAAAAGTAGTGCGACAATAAAAGCGTTCACAAGGAAGCCTCAAGAAGTATTCCTAGCAGAAGGAAAGAACCAAATGTTCCTTATTCCCAACCATTCACTCTTCAAACACCATCACCTCCACCCCAGTTCAGTAACTCGACCATAAAAGTACCTTTGATTGGAGAATACAAGTATTTTATAGGAAAGCAGTAGATAAACAAGTTTAAGGATCACGCCTTAAGAACTGAGACAGAAACACCAACCCTGAGTGATCAGCGAGACAGAAGATCAACGAACTTCATTTACCTCTAGTTAAATTCTTCCGTTTCTAAGAGCTATAAACATGAATTTATTTTTGAGTGAATTTTGTTTCTCAAGTGCTAACTTGTTAATGTTGAGCTTTTATTTGAAATTGGAAAGCTAAGTTACTATCTTTAAGTTGTTTGAGGGCAAGTAACAATTAAGTTTTGGGGTGTTTGATGGGACAAAAAGTTGTTCCCATATGAGCTGATTTTATTAGCAAAAACCCATCCGTTCCGCAACTTGGCATCCATTTTTACTACTAAAAGACGTTGTCAATCAATAAGAATGAAAATACAGGAAAGGGAACAGAAGCCAGCGTAGTAGCAGATGAAAAAGAGAAAAAGGGAAAGGATTGACCTATTCATATACCTGCTCTGCTTACCCTTACATTGTTCCACTACTTTGCAGAAAAAAAAGTCAAATCCAACCCCATGCCATCACTTCAAACAACTCTCATAAGATGTCAGGATAGCAACTCACCAACTCTTCATTCAAGCAAGCAATAGCTGGTGGAAATCACAAGTTTTCCACCACTCTCCTTAGCCTATAAATAGCAGAGTTGAAGATGAAGAAAAAACTTTGGGGGAAACGTTAGAGATTTTAGATATCTTAGCTTCAATCCTATAATAGTTTAGTTTCTGCTTGTAATTTATTTAGTTCTTTGCATTAGCCAAGTGACAACATTCTTCCCTCCCTTTTTCACCACCATTTGAGACTCCTTACGAGCAATATCCATTTTCGCCATTTGTGTTCTTACTATAGTAATCCATTTGTGTTTTATTAATTTAAGTCTGTTATTTCTCTTATCTTCCAATCGTTTTCTTCAAATTGAGATGACTATGTTTGTATTTTCAGCCATGAGCTAAGTTATTTTGGAATGAGAAAACTGTGAAGTTCTAATGAACTGTGTTTGAAACTCTTACACTGAACCTTTTGTATTTCTATGACTTAAGTGTTTTCAATATTTGGGTATAAATGAAAATTGAACGCAACTAAGAAAGGATCTTCCTCAAGAAAGGGATTTCTATAACACCTCGTAGATTTAAAAAATATAATTATACTTAAAATAGGGACTAGAGGGTAGGATTAGTGAAAATCCCGACTTCTGACTCAAAATACGTAAAAAGGGTAAAATGGTAATTTGACAAACACGTAACCCTAAACAGTAAAATGTTAATAGAAGGTATCAAATGGGAAAACTAACCCTGGAAATGGATTCAGAACAAAAAATTGAGTGGTTAGGCAAGTTTCTGGAAAATTGATTAATAGTATTTTCACAGAGTAAAAATATAGCAGTACAGTTGCACCAAAAAATGTGCCGAGTGAAATTTGAGCTCTAAGTTTAAAAATAAGTTGAAAAAGTTACATAGGACTAAGAATTATGATTATTGATGAAATGTGATGAAAATTATGGTTTTTGGGGAAACGTGCCAATAGTGCATATATCGGGTTAAAACTGTGATTTCACTGAATGACCGGAAAACTTCGTATTCATCTGTTCAAGGGTAATTAAAGGATCTTGGTGAATGTTAAAATTTTTATTTAATGGATAGTTCATGAATTAATTGAAGATTAATGGTGAAATTAAGTGAGTTTAAGTGAGGTAGCACTTATGGGACCCACCTCCACTTAAATGACTTATGAACACATGTAGAATCAAATTTTTTGAGTCCTACATCAAACTTGAAGTAAAATTCCTTATAAACCCAACCATGCTACTCTCAATCTTGAAACCCACTAGTTTGGGAGAAAAATGAGACCCATTGCCACGAATTTGGTGTTCTTGGGTTGTTTGATCAAGTCATTGTTTGGAT